AATTTAAAAATTTTAACCTATAAAATATAATATAATATTTCCGATAAATTTTGATTGGTTTTTTTGACTTTTTTAATAAAATAAAATAAATATAGATAATTAAGGCATTTTTAAATTTTTAAATTTTTAAGCTATTAATTATTTTTATTATGTCCTAATTATGATTTTTATTTCAATTATATTATTATGTAAAGTTATTAATAATGAATTAACAAATTATTTATTATTATTATAGTTTATAATTTAGCCTCAACATTATCATTTTAAATAATATATGTAAATATGAGGCATTTGAAAATTTTTACATTTTTTTGAATTTATTTGAAAAAAATATATCTATGATTCAAATTTTAATTTAAAAAGAGAATAATTAAATTTCTTTAATTACAAATTGCACTCTAGTTTGATTGGCCAAAAATTAAGATAAAAAATTATTATTTTTAAATATCTCGAATTTTATTAGTTATATTGACATCTTATATAAATCAAATCCTATTTCAATTAAAGAATATAATTTTATTAATAATTTTTTAAATGCTTTCATGATTTTAATTGGCTAAAAAATAAAAATGAAAATTTATTATTATTTCTAAATATTTAATTTGATTTATTAGATTGATAATGTTGATTTGATTAGATTGATTCTTTAGTGTCCAATTGTTAAAAGTAATATTATTTAACTACCAGAGAGATTCAGATAATGACAACATTATTAACAAAACAGTATAGAAGGTAATAATAAAACTTATAAATAGAAGGTTAATGATAATGTTTTTCACAAATCAATTTAGTTTTTTCTTTAAAAAAGAAAAAAGAAAGCAACTAATATATACATAAAAAACTGAATAATGATCAGCACGTGTGACACTATAACCAGAAAAAAAAGAAAAAAACTATATCTTAATAAAGTGTAATTGTACTTTAATGACTCAAATCTAAATAAAAGATGTTATTTTTAATAATTATATAATACATGATTTTAATTGGCTAAAAAATAAAAATGAAAATTTATTATTATTTCTAAATATTTAATTTGATTTATTAGATTGATTCTTTATTCCATTGTTAAAGTATATTTATTTACTACAAGAGATTATAATAAAACATTATTAACAAAACATATAAAGTAATTATAAAACTTATAATAGAAGTTATATAATGTTTTTCACAAATCAATTTAGTTTTTCTTTAAAAAAGAAAAAAAGAAGCAACTAATATATAATAAAAACTATATGAATCAGCACGTTGACACATAACCAAAAAAAAAAAAAACTATATCTATAAAGTGTAATGTACTTTAATGACTCAATCTAAATAAAAATTTATATTTTAATATTATATAAATAAAAAATTAAACAAATATCAAGAATGAGCATATAACGAACACAGTCAACGTGTGACGCACGTCATAAAAAAAACTAGTTACCATTAAAAGGAAGAATAAAAATACTAGCAAATCAATGGTGGTAAGAAGAGAAGCATCCATTGGTGATTTACAAATCAATTTGCTCTTTTCTTGGATCCAAATTGCCGATCTATGATATGCAATTCTTCCATAGAGATCAAACCTCCTCCTTAGAGAATAGAGCTTTTCACTTCATTTTCAATAAATTTTATTTTTTATTTAGATTATAAAATGGATGGTTTACTCTACCTAATGAATGACAAAGCATTATTTTTTTCTTCTTTAACTTCTGAAAAATAAAATTCTAAGGATAATAAAACAATTTTATTCTAGTTTTTCTTTTTTTTTTTCCTTTTTTTTTTTAGAAATATGAGACTTTTTTTTTTCTTTTTTCTATTTCTGAAGGGTGGCGTTAGAAGGAAGAAAAAAAAAAAATTTGTCCTTTTTTATTTTTTATTTTTTCCTGTGGATTGCTTGTTTTTAAACTTATGTAAATGGAAATTTTTATTAAAAAAAAAAAAATGTTATGGTCTTGGCTATGGACGGAAAATTCAGGTTGGAAAATGATTTTTGCCTCAGACCCATTATCATTCTTCAATGGACAAATTACCTACAGTATTGTTTTTTATTTATTTATAAAAGCTAGAGACATTTTCTTGAGCATCAAATTTATTTTCCCTTTTAAAATTTATATTTCTACAACTACACTTACTCAATTTCCTCTGTTTTTTCTTTTTATTTATTTTCAAAAATTCAAGTTTCTCAATTTTCCAGATTGTGTTATCTTGTCTTTGCCAAAGTCATTTTGTGCCCATAAATCTTTGAAATTTGCTTCATCTTTGTTTCTTGAAATTTCCGCTGTCGTTGCATAAAATTTGCTTTAGATGATCACTTTATTTACGTTAACTTACCTCTTTTTTCTTTTATTTATTTTTTTATTTCTTTTCATTCTAATTTTCTTTTTCTTTAAAAATTAATTTCTTTGTAATTTCTTTTCGGTCTTTATCATTTACACGTGAGTTAAGGGTATTTTTGTCATTTAAAATCTTTTTCTCATCTCTGACCGGCTTTTTTTTGTTTGACCGTTGGAAAAAGACCAAAAAAAGGGATGAAAATACCAAAGAATTGGACAGGTCTGAACGTTAGAGGTATAATCATGTATTTTAAAAAAGTGAGAATCAATTATTTTATTTGACTAAAATCAAGAGACTAAATAATAATTTTTCCTATGATCAATTCAGTTAAATTTTTATATTTATTTTTCTCTCATTGCATAATAATAATAATAATAATAATAATTAAATTAACCACAAATTTTCCACTTGATACAGCAAACTATTATTGGAGTCCTTAGATTAGATGGAGTACATATTATTATTTCATCTTATTTTTTTGAAAAAGAAATTATTTATTTCCATTTACAAAATATTTTTTTCGTCTAAAATACTCAAAACGTTCATACATAAATAAAAAAATAATTAAAATATCCTCATATATTTTAGGTAGTGGTTTAAGTCATTGTAATGTAGCCCCTCTTTTTGTTATTTTCCTTCTTGTTTTGAGTGGAAGTTCAAATTGGCAATAGACTTTTTTTTTTTTTTTCTGTTAAAAAATTAAAAAATCTAATTTATAAAAATGAAATGGAGACACAAGGACTTTAGGCATCTGGGGAATTAACTGCAAAGTCAAGAGTCAAGTCAAACCTTTGGAAGACAATCACTTACGTTTTCAATCTGAAATTAATTATGAATTGTTAATGAACTTACAAGAATTTTCATTGAAATTTCCAGCCAAATTGCGTTAATATGACATTAAGGAAACAATATTTAAATTTCTAGCCAAATTTAGCTGTTTTAGTAGCTGTTAGCTGTTTTAATAGCTGTTAGTTGTTTTACTGGTGGTTAGCAGTTAAATATTTCCCGTTAGTGATTAACAATTATATATCGGTTTAGAATAAAAATATTTGGTACAAATAACTGTTTGATTAGCTGTTTAATATAAAATAACAAAAAAGTTATGAAAGAAAAAAACAAGGTTAAGACAAATATGGGTATATGTTTAATAAAAAAATTATAAAACGCAACGTTAATGAAGATATGTTTCATAAAACACTGTCTCAGACTCTGAACGCTAGAATAGATATTGCATTACCCCGAACATTATAATTAATTTAAGATAGTGTTTCAACTTTATCAAAACACTAAATACCATTTCAAACGTTGCTGCCCAACAAGGCATACACGTCAGTTTTTAAAATTCTACAAAGAAAGTTGACTGTTAGTGAAGCCAAAGGAGTATGTCTGTTGACAATGAATAAACCTTGATATTCATACATTATTTTCATAACGTTTGAAAGCTTTAGTTCTTTAAAATCCTGCAAATGCACTTAATGGCAACCTTTTTCTAGACATATAATTAATTGTAATATATATAAAGAAAAGAAAGAAAAATTCGGACTCTGTAATTTCCAAGTCTACAGCGTGTAATATAAGTATACATGTAATTGTTGTCTCTGCCATTACTAAGTCGTCTTGAGCCATTAACATGTGTATATATATATATATATATAATGGCAAACCTTTTTCTAGACATATAATTAATTGTAATATAATATAAGAGCAAAAAAAGAAAAATTCGAACTCTGTAATTTCACCAATCTACAGCGTGTAATATAAGTATAGCATGTAATTGTTTGTCTCTGCGCATTACTAAGTCGCCTGTAGCTATACACATGTTGTATACATTAGTAATTTAATTATCTAGATATATGAGGGAGATAGGTAAGTAGTTAACGCGTAACTTAGGACGTGGCAGGCACGCACACACAGGCGCATTTCACGGCACTCCGGGGGCTCAATATCACACCACGAAGTCAGGTCAGAGTCTATCGCCATGTTGTTCTTTCTTTCTTTTACATTTCTATCTTGTTGCCTTGTGCTTGTGTTTGTCCTATCTCAACGCAAGGCCATTTCCTTGCAAAAGGGCTAGGCACACGATACAGAGGAAGCGCGTGCTTTATAGATTATAGCTTCAGTTAAAAGATTGCGGAATACACACGCTCACGTAAGGACCGTTTCAGGCAAGTTCTGACCGTTCTTGAATCATTCCTTTAACATTTTTTGCAATTGGTTTAATGGCATTTCATGCAGTCTCGCGACAAGTCGTGAGAGAGAGGTCATAGCCTTGACCTGAGCTTCTCAAAGCTGGTAGGACCATCCGTATCTCACCGGCTCATATGGAGATCTTTCCTTCTCTCACACAGGCGCAATCCTTAGATGTTACATGAGACAACAGCCTTCCATGGCGCACATCTTCAGAAAGAGATAGGTTATTTACTCATTCCGCCGGCATAACAAGATAATGTGACATGGCATAACTATCATTAATCCAGTAATATAAATTGGATTCTCTAATCTTATCCTGCTGTTCTAACATCTGCTAAAATTGGTCACTACTTAATGAACATAGCATATGGTTTGGGAGAATACCTAATATAGAGGCCTTTGGCCGCTCATTTACCAATTAGCTATGAATTGGCATATATATACACACACACACACATGTTATACCTCTGTACCAATTAAACACAGAACAGTAGAAGTTATGGCATTTAAGTTTTTTTCTCTTTACATTTCTATCTTGTGCTTGTGCTTGTGTTTGTCCTATCTCAACCAGGCCATTTCCTTGCAAAATGAGACTGATAGACTTGCTTTGATATCTTTTAAAAATTCAATACAACAAGACCCGTTTCAGGTTCTGAGTTCTTGGAATCATTCTTTACATTTTTGCAATTGGTATGGCATTTCATGCAGTCTCCGACATCGTAACAGAGTCATAGCCTTGGACCTGAGCTCTCAAAGCTTGGTAGGATCGTTATCACCTCATATTGGAAATCTCTCCTTTCTCAGGCGCATTAATTTACAGAACAACAGCTTCCATGGCCAAATCCCAGAAGAGATAGGTAATCTCCGCCGCATACAAGATATTGAACTAGCCAATAACTCATTCCAAGGTAATATACCATCCAACTTATCCCGCTGTTCAAATCTTCTGCAACTTCGTCTCTTTAATAACAAGCTGGTTGGGAGAATACCTATGGAGCTTGGCTCTTTACCAAAGCTTGAATTGCTAGTCTTGGCAAAAAATAACCTAACTGGAAATATTCCTCCGTCTATCGGAAATCTCTCATCTATATGGCTACTCTCTCTTGGTAGAAATGGATTTCAAGGACAGATTCCAAAGGAAATCTCTCTGCTTAAGAACTTGCAATCCTTTCTATTTCAAGAAAATAATCTTATTGGTGACATTCCTTCTGGCATCTTCAACATTTCTAAACTTGAATATTGTCATGGAAACAAAAACAAGCTGAATGGCAGCATTCCCTCTGATTTAGGGCTCACTCTTCCAAAGCTTAAACACTTAGTACTTCAAGACAACAGATTTACTGGAGCCATCCCAATTTCATTGTCAAATGCGTCTATGCTTGAACAAATTGATTTTGTAGCCAACAAATTTTCTGGTTTTGTTCCCAAACAACTTGGAGTGCTGCCACATCTTCGATATGTAGGCTTTTCTAATAATCAGCTGCAAGGTGACTTAAGTTTCATTGATTCTCTGACTAACTGCTCCAATTTAAAATATTTAGAATTCAGTTCAAATTTTTTCAAAGGGACCGTGCCCAATTCCATAGCCAATCTCTCTAAAGACTTGGAAATGCTGTCAGTGCGAGAAAATCAGTTACATAATGTCATTCCCTTGGGTGTTGAGAACCTTATCAATCTGAGGTTCTTTTTGTTTGGTGCTAATTACTTTTCTGGTCCTTTACTTATTGATTTTGGGAAATTTCAACGACTACATATGTTGGATTTGGGTGGCAACAAATTAACAGGAACAATTCCATATTCAATTGGTAATTTATCTTTCTTGACATTTCTAGATTTGAGTTTCAACAATCTCCATGGGAGCATACCTTCTAGTCTTGGCAGTTGTCATAACTTGAACTTTCTGGCTCTCTCTCAAAACAATCTCAGTGGTCCAATACCCAGTCAGCTTATCACTCTGTCCTCCCTTTCAATTGTCCTCGATTTATCTGGTAATAAACTTACGGGTCCTGTTCCTTCCAAAATTTTTACGTTGAACAATCTTGCCCAGTTGGATTTATCTAACAATAAATTATCTGGCATGATTCCAAATAGCATCGGTAAATATTTGAGTTTGGAACAACTTTACCTGCAGGAAAATTCATTTGGTGGGAACATACCTCTAGTTTTAACGTCTTTGACAGGTTTAAGAGAGTTGGATATTTCGAGCAATAATTTATCGGGCCAAATTCCAGATTCTTTTGCTAACCTTCACGGGCTAAACTATTTCAATTTGTCTTTTAACCAGCTGAAAGGGGAGGTTCCAAAGCATGGAATCTTTCTAAATGCAAGTGTTGTTTCACTTCAAGGAAATGTTGGTCTTTGTGGAGGTATTCCTGAATTAAAGCTTCCACCTTGCGCCTTTCAAACTTCAAACAAGAATAACCGCTCCTTTCCACTAAAAGTAATAATTTCGGTGGTTTTTGCTGTGATATTTTTTTCTCTATTGATATGTTTCTGGTATAGAAAAAAATTCACCAGTAAGAATATTTCCATGCCGTCCTTCAGCCACAAATTTTTGAGAATATCCTATGCAGAGCTCTTCAAAGCTACAAATGGGTTCTCTGTAGCCAACATAATTGGTGTTGGTAGCTATGGCTCTGTTTATAAGGGATTTCTTGAGCAATCAAGAATCCAAGTGGCAGTGAAAGTGCTAAACTTGCAACAAAGAGGAGCTTCAAATAGTTTCCTTTCTGAATGTCAAGCTCTTAGAGCCACCAGGCACCGAAACCTTTTGAAGCTATTGAGTGTCTGCTCTAGCATAGATTCTGAAGGCAATGATTTCAAAGCTTTGATATATGAATTCATGGAAAATGGGAGTTTGGAAAAATGGTTGCATGCTCAAAGTGTTGGAGAAGATGGACAAGAAAGAGAATCAAGAAACCTGAAACTGATAGACAGATTGAACATTGCAATTGATATTGCTACTGCAATCGAATATCTTCACACCGGTAGCTCCACAATAGTGATACATGGTGATTTAAAGCCAAGTAATGTTCTTTTGGATGAAAATATGACTGCCCATATTGGAGATTTTGGATTGGCTAAGATTGTGTCAACAATTTATGGCGATACTATGAATCCAAGCACTTCTCTAGCAATCAAAGGGTCTATTGGCTATGTTGCTCCAGGTACACCTTTTTTTAAAAAAAAGAAAAACAAAAAATGCTCCTTCGAAGAAGTAACATTCTGATTCAAAAGGAGCAATACTAATAAACTTCTTATTAGTGGTTAATTATATATTTAACATCTGAATTTTTTCAGTTTTTCTATTTTATATTTTTGTGTTTGAACTGTATTTCCTATGCGAACTAAGAAAATTTTTTTGAAAGAAGTGCGTTTGAATGAAAGTTTTTACCGAAAATTTAACATAAATAATTTTGTTTAATAAATTATATCATGCATAAGTTCATTCCATTCATTTTAAAAAAAAAAAAAAAACTTTATGTGGTCTTATATCTCTTTGTTTCTAGAAAGAAACCTCAAAAATTTCTTATAATTCAGATACACGTACTAATTAACATTATAACTACTTGCAGAGTATGGAATGGGTGAGCCAGTTTCTAAAAAAGGAGATGTTTATAGTTATGGTATTCTATTGCTGGAGATGTTTACAGGAAAGAGACCAACTGATGATTTTTTCAAAGATGATCTAAACCTTCATACCTTTGTTGAGAGATCTTTACCTTATGAAGTAACAAACATTATAGATCGAAACATCATATTGGTTGAAGATGGTGGAGAGAGCTTCAAGGACGCTATCCTCTTTGTACTAAGAATTGGAGTTGCATGCACGATGGAACAGCCAGGGGAAAGGATGGAAATGCAAGATGTGATAAATGAATTGCAAAAGGTCAAGAGCTCTTATCTAAAGGGATTGCTGGTGCAAAACCCAAGAAATGCCTATCAATTTGGAGGTCCGAGCTCCTCTCACATATAGTGTCTTTTATCTTCATAAATTTCCATGGCTAAATGTTCGTTTTTGGTAACAAACGTGGGAAGCAATTCAATGGATATGTGCTTGAATTTCGTACTTCGTTTTGTTTAGGGCGTTTACTTATATAATTGTTGGCTAGATTCTCAAATATTATTGTAACTTGGAACGACTAGATTTGCCTAGAACCGATCTATTGATATGATTAAGATTGTCATTCGAAACTAGTCAAAGATATTTTGTATTAATTCTATCCTAAAATCTAGCTGATTTAATATCTGGTTTGTGGTATTCCAGATTTTAGGGAATTATGTTTTGTAAAAGCTGGAGTTAGTAAAAGCTAGGTATTGACTCTTTGAAATGCTTTGATATAAAAGCTTTATTTTGTAACTAGGGAATATGAATGTAGAGAAATCTTTATTATCTTCCTTTTTCCTCTATTATCTTTGCTCTTCCATAGCTGTAAATTTCTGCCTTTTAACAGTGGTATCAGAGTTTTGAATGGTCTTTGTGTGCCCTGTGAGTGAGAGAAAACAAGTTAAAAACCTTTCTCAAATAGCCTTAAACACCTTTGTGTAAGTTATGGCTTCAAGTAATTACTGAGCCCCTCCTCCACCGGTATTCTCAGGAGAGAATTATCCCATTTGGTCAGTGAAAATGAAGGCTTATCTTCAAGCCTTTGAACTGTGTGAAGTTGTTGAAACAGGTAGAGAACCATCTACTTAAAGAGAAGATCCCACCATAGCTCAAATTGATAATTACAACAAAGAAGTTGCTAAGAAGTTCAAAGCCCTTTCAGCCATTCATTCTGTTGTTTCTGATGTCATTTTCACAAGGATAATGTCTTGTGAAACTGCTAAAGAAGGTTGGGACAACCTAAAGGCAGAACTTCAAGGAAATGATAAAGCGAGAAGCATGCAAATCCTAAATTTGAGAAGAGATTTTGAGATTCTCAGAATGAAGGAGTCATAATCCATTAAAGAGTATTATGATAGATTGTTGGCTGTTGTAAATAAAATCAAGCTACTAGGAGAGGAACTCAATGACAAAAGAGTTGTTGAAAAGGTTTTAGTCAGCCTACTAGAAAGATTTGAGCCAAAAATTTCTTCTTTGGAAGATTCCAAAGACTTGAATACAATTTCTCTCTCATAGTTAATTAATGCTCTTCAAGCTCTTGAACAAGGAGAACCATAAGAGTGGAGGAATCATTTAAAGAAGCTTTTATTGCCAATAAAAAAGAAAAGCAAGCTCAGGAAGCAAAAAAGATTGCTAATGACAAGGCAAATAAGGGCAAAGACCTGCAAACAAAAGAAGAGGTGGTAGGAAACCAAAATTCTCACCTTGTCCTACTTATCTAGAAAAAGACTGCTGGCAGAAAAATGGGATCAAACCACCTAGATGTAACTACTACAACAGATTTGGACATGTAGAGAAGAATTGCAAACTCAAGCAAAGCCACCAAAATCAGAACCAATAGCAACAACTGAATTAGAAAGCTAATAAATGTTGATGAGCAACCTCAATATACTGATCATGTCTTTGTTGCTACTCACTCTACAAATACTAGTGAAAAACATACTTGGTATTTGGATGGTGGATGCACTAGTCATATGGCACGAGATGAAAATATGTTCTCTTCTCTTGATAAATCTTCGAGGGTTAGAGTGAAGTTTGCAAATGGAGATACTGTGGTATCTAAAGGCAAGGGTTCCATTTTAATTCAAACTAAGAAAGGTATTAAACTAGTTTCTGATGTCCTTTTCATTTCTAGTTTACATCAAAACTTGCTTACTGTTCCTCAAATATTAAAGAAAGGGTATTCCTTATCTTTCAACGTGAAAGCCTACATTGTTTTTTATCCTCATGGTTCTGAAATTATGAAAATCAGTATGATGGCTAATAGTTTTCCTATAAATTGGGATTCAGTTGATCATTGCTCTTTTATAGTTTAAAATCAAGAATCTGATTATGGCACAAAATATTCGGCCATTATAATTTGAATTCTCTAAAGTTTATGCAGAAAAATAAAATGGTTAGAGACATGCCAAAAGTCATTATAAATGGTAAGTTTGTGGTAGTTGTCAATGTTAGATTTATTATTCATTAACCTAACACGCCCAGCTCTAAAGAGGAGCCAGAGCTGTTGGATAGTTAGAATCCATAAGAAAAAGGAGAAAAAAGGGAAAGAGAAAGAGAGAAAAGGAGAATACTTAGGGTTTTTCATTCATAAGTCTAACTAAAGTCAAGATTACAATATATATAGGATTAATGACGTGGCTTACATATAGACTACTAATGCCAAGTCATATTTGAGTTATAATGTACTAAATAGCAAAATAAAGAATTACATCTTAAGTGATAAGCAATGAAGTACTATGCAATTCTATCCATCATAACAATTGTTTATATCAGATAGATCCATTCCTTATTACCCTAACAACTACCCCCTCCATTGATTGCCAACTTGTCCTCAAGGTGGAAGTTAGGAAACTGTTTGTTCAAAAATGCCACATCCTCCCTGTAGGATCAGAAGGAGCTAAGTTCTTCTATAAGATCAAGACCTGTTTCACTGGTAAGCGGTTCCTTGTGATAGTCTTGTTGTTGAGTACTTACTAAGGTGCTATCATAGGTTCAACCAAATCAGACAACAGAGGAAGGGATGGAGAAATCTCAGCGGTACTACCCACATATTTTTTAACTGGGAAATATGAAATACTAGGTGAATGAGGGAGTCAAGAGGGAGTTGCAACCTATAAGCCACAGAACCAATCCTTTCTAAAACCTGAAATGGGCCATAAAACTTAGCACAAAGTTTCAAATTTTTCCTTAAGGCGACAGTGTTCTATCTGTAGGGCTGCAGTTTAAAAAATACCCAATCACCAACAGAAAGGCCCTGTCAACCCTGTGGGAATCTGCAAACTATTTCATCCTGTTCTGGTCAATTACAAGTGTTTCTTTGAGGAACTAAGACATGTGCTGCCTTTCAAGTAACAAATTCTCAATTAACCATGGGATAGAATTGGAAGTAATGGTGGGTCAAAACCATATAATGCCTTAAATGGGGACATCTTCAAGCTAGAATAGAAGGTAGTGTTGTACCACCATTCAACCAAGCTTAACCAGTGTGACCAAGCTAATGGCTTTGCAGCTATCATGCATCTAAGATATGTTTCTAAACATCTATTTAGCCTCTCAGTATGTCCATTAGTCTGTGGGTGATAGGCATAATTGAATTGTACTTTGGTTCCTAAATAATGAAATAATTCTTTCCAGAAAATGCTAGTAAAAATTTTGTCCCTAGAAGAGGTCATAGATTGTAGCATGCCATGCAATTTAAAAATGTTATCAAGGAAAACCTGTGCTACTTTTTGAGCAGTAAATGGGTGTGACAATGGAATAAAATGGGCATATTTGGAGAACCTATCTACAACCACAAGAATTTTGTCTTTATTATTGGATTTAGGTAATCCTTCAATAAAGTTTAAGGAAATGTGGAGCCAGTCTTGATTTGGAATAGGCAGTGGTTGTAATAAGCCAGGTTATGGGGAAGAAGTTTTGCATTGTTGGCATATGTCACATTTCATAACCCATTTATAAACATGTTCATGTAAACCAGGCTAGAAAAAAATATTACTGTAGTTTTTGCAAAGTACCCCTAATGCCACTGTGACCCCTTATAGGTGAAGCATGGAAATTTTGAAAAAGAGAATATCTCACATTAGTAGACTTGCCAACATAAATTCTTTTTTTATACGGCAATAATCCCCTTGAAAATGAATAATTAGGCTTGGCAGAAGGTGTGACAGAAAGGAGCTGAATTAATTCAGTAGTAATGGGGTCATTAGTATAGCTGTTAGTGACCTCCTGCAACCAAAGTGACTAGACATAGGAAATTGCATAAAGGGTGGGAGAGGAGGCTGTTCAAGAAGGGCAAAATGGGAAAGGGCATCTACTACCTTATTTTCGAACCCCTTTTTATATTGAATGGTATAGGAAAGACCTAAGAGTTTAGTGACCCCTTTCTGTTGCATATAATTATGCAATTTCTAATGTAAGAGTTATGCAAGGCTAGAATGGTATGTTTTTACGATAAAGGGTGCATGCTCAAGGTAGTGTTGCCATTGTGAAACTACCTTAATGACAGCCAATAGTTCCTTTTCATAAATAAATAGTCCTAGGTGCCTGTTGTTCAATGGTTTGCTAATAAAAGCAAGTGGTCTATTGTTTTGCATTAGCACAACACCTAAGCCTTGATAGTTGACATCAGTCTCAATGACAAAGTGTAAAGAAAATTCAAGTAAGGCCAAAATGGGAGGAGAGGATAGAATTTGCTTCAGGTTTATGAATGCAGAATTAGCACTAGATGACCAATGCAAAGCATCTTTCCTAAGCAAGTCACTTAATGGTTTACTAAGCACTCCATATCCCCTAATGAATTTCCTATAATAACCTATCAAGCCTAAGAATCCCCTCAATGATTTGACTAATTTGGGAGTTGGCCAATTGATCATAGCTTCAATTTTCTTAGGGATCAGTTCCTACCCCCTTTATCACTGATAATATGCCATAAATACTCTAGTGATTTTCATGCAAAAGTGCACGTAAACTTCTTAGCATAGAGTTGATTGGTTCGCAATAAGTCAAACACAACTTGCAAGTGGGAAATGTGTGATTTGAGGGTGAGGTTGTACACTAAAATGTCATCAAAGAAAAAAAGTATGAACTTTTTAAGATAGGGTGCAAAAATGGTATTCATAAGTGCTTGAAAGGTGGCAGGGTTATTGGTAAGGCCAAATGGCATGAACTTGACTTCAAAGTGTCCATGGTGGGTTCTAAAGGCTGCCTTAGGGATGTCTTTGTGATACATTCTGATTTAGTGATAACCAGATCTAAGATCAATTTTGGAAAAATAAGAAGCCTTAGAAAGTTCATCCAATAAGTCATCAATGAGTGAGATGGAGTATTTGTCTTTGATAGTAAGATTATTGAGTTGCCTATAGCCTATACACATTCTCCAAGTATTATCTTTCTTTTTTACAAGTAAAACAGGAGAAGCATGTGGACTATTTCAATTTCATTTTTTAAGAAGTGATTATATCTATTGGGTCTGATATTAATAGGTTTTGAATGAGGAATCAATGGTATTTGGTGATTATGAGGTCTTGGGGGGGGGGGGGGGGTGAACTAACGGGTAACGCTATGCTACAAAGGTAGTGTTCCATATGTGCAAACTACCGGTGATAATTGACCAGCAATACGTCTCCTTTTCATAAATAGCTTAGATCGTACGAAAGGTGCTGTGTCTCACATGCGTTTTGCTCTAATTATAACCACAAGAGTCGGCTCCTATAAGGTTGTTTTCCCTGCGCGATATACAACCACTAAGCCGTTTGACTACGTTGAAAGAGTCAGTCTCA